TGGGAGATGCAGTTCTCAAGGTCCTTCCAGCCATGTATCCATATCAGCTCTGTACTACAATCCCCATAAGTCTCTGCCTCTCTTCACACACAGAGGCAATTAACTGTTTATAGTCAGAATTCACATCTCTATAGTAGCACATGTATATAACTATATAGGGGTTACATAATATAGACAATACAGATAGGTACTTCTTTCGTTCTGCTTCAAACCTTTAAAGAAGCCCTTACTAGCGGGTCTTTGCTGACAAGTATGAGGGATGTCATAACTGTGGTATTTTTTAGGGTTGAAAAGAACTCACACATAATTAAACATTGATGTCAAAAATGTAGCCAGGGTGCTGGCATTGTGCATAATCAGGGTCATTTCTAACAAAATTATCCATTCTGACAAAGCTGGCTTTATGTCAACTAAAGCAATTAATACTGTATATATACAGTAAAGGGGAAATTGGAACATCTGTTCTATTTATAACATATTGTGTATATATATTTCCACCATTTTTTGTAAAAATGAGGACATATTTTTAAGCCAGCCTGGCGGTTCACCTGTAACCCATGGAGCAGAAGTAGCTATTTCTCTACAGAGTTTTTATATGATACATTTCCTCTTTACAATCATGTGAGGAAGTTGAGAGGCCAAAGGAATGAGGCCAGTTAGACATTTGCAGATCTACTATTGAGGCCGTGGTGGAAAACATTGCATTATGCCACAGTTATTTGTAAAAATGACCAACAACATGCAAGCCAGATCCTTTGGATTGATTTAATAGTATTGCATGTTTTTTTTTATGAATGACATAATGAAGAATTTCAAGCTGTTTATTGTCATTCTACACTTGGCATTTCATCAATTAGCAGGTAAGATACACAATGACATTCTTTTTTTATATATTGATAAATTCATTTTCTATCAATGAAACTCTACTATGTAGCTAATGTCGTCTTCTGCTCTAATTCTGTCATAGAATGGAGGCATTAGATTTAAATCACAGTCTTGGGTGGGTTTTAGTACAAGGTAGAACAGGCATCTTCCTGTAATCTTACAATACACAGATCTCTCAGCATTGGGAGGACATAACCTACCTCCCCATGTTAGAAGAAGTAATACACCTGGATGAAACCAGTTTTTTACAATGAAAATGTGTGTCGGGTGATGGGTTGCTTTGGATGCTATAAACAATTGAGCAAATATTTTACATTGTAACTGCCCTGTACTCTAAACAATAATGTGTATTGGTATTACACTGTATTTTGCAATTATACCTACTCTAATTTTTTTACATAAAATTATATTTTATATCAATTGAAATTACATTAAATTAATTCTATTTTTACATACAAATATATTTTACATAAATTGAATTTAAATAAAAATAATTCTATTTTTACATTAAATTATATTTTGAAAAATACAAAGTGCACTGGCAAATGACCATTTATAGATTTTTCAACAAAATAACAGAGACCAGTAT